GCGGCTATCGCGAAAGAGTCGCTCTTGAGAGCAGTTTTATAATATGATTTACCTGTGTTGACGTCATCGTTCAAACTTCGAAGACGACGAGTGTGCGGATGTATGTTGAACTTCTTTCGCACCGCACGTAGCCAACCGTGATAATCGGACTAGTCGGAGGTGCGGGAGGCTTGGGCAAAGGCGCGTCGTGGCTTAGAAGGGACGAGCGGCGATGGTCGACAATCACGAGCGAGTGGCAGCAGCCAAGCAATGGGTGGACGCCCTCTCGGAACGCGTCCAAGAGGGCATCCACCACCACAGCGACGGCGGCAGTGAAATCCCTTGGACCCTCTGATGACGACGTCGCAGGATCGTGAAAATTGGCGGCGGCTCGGGGAGGCTTTCATCCAGCAGTGGATCGACCATGGCTGATGATGGTGAATACGGCTTAGGTTGAGGTGGCTCTTCTACGCCGTGTAGACCCCAGGCGATGGGAGATATCAAGATCTGTGAGTCTGTGCGCATTAAACCGATGTATACGCTTCCGCTTATTAAACGTTCAGTTATTTTAGTAAATGATTTGAAAATGTATTTATAACGTCATTTCTATGCTCAGTGTCTACTGCTGCTGCTGTGTCCTGTACAGATTTTTGAGGTCCTTATGCATGTAATTATTATTATTTGTATTAACCGCATTATAAGCAGCCCCCTGTTCAAGTAGCCCCCATACATACTTGTTGATATCGCCCGCTCCTGCTCGGCTCCTTGGCAAAGTTAGGCTCCGACTCTCAATTGTCCCCAGCCTGCCCACACGCGATTTTGTTCGAGTTGGGCTACAGGCGGAGCGGTGTGGAGCAGACAGTTCAGGGTCGTGGGTGGACATTCTTCCACCTCCAGAGACCCTGACCCCAAACACGCCTCCACGTCGCGCCCTGCCGCTCGGCGATTCACACGATGATCTTGTGGATGTAACGATGACCACATTAATTGGGTTGCCACTGAAATCAGATTATTACGCTCGCGACACGCGGGGCATCGAATGGGGCCGTTGTCGTAGTGAAACAAACACCCTGGTCTCTTGCAACACGCACGATTGTGTAGCCCGTATTACAATCGAGTCATAATTGATGTGTGGCTTAGGCCACCGCGTAATGATCTGACCAAATGTGTGTCGTGAAGCTCTCCAACAGCTCGACACAGCCAAACTAATTCGTCACCCGGTGTACAAGCGTTTTCACAACGCGACAATTACTAATATTATTATTTGGTTAAAGGTCAATTCTCACAACCACATTTATGCACTGGACGCGCCACGTGGGCATCAGAATGCGCATCCGAGAAGCGAGAACTTGGCCAGTGGGGTAACTACGGAGTGTGCAGGCGGTGTAACTGCGTCACGGCCCCGAGGTAGGAGGCGCCCAGGCTCCGGGCACGACTGAAGGAATGAGGGTGGGTGGTGATTGTACATAAGCCATGCCACCCGCACTGCATCTCTGCACGTGGGATAAGTTCATGAGCAGGCGTGGTCCTGTCTGGGTCAACACCCTCCCTTCTCCTTCCCCGCCGGGCGCTGGCTGCCGTGGCTCCGCACGCGGCTGCCTGTAACCCAGCACTGTGAAGGCAACAGGGGGCGGGGGTTAGTGGATCACCGCAAGAAGTTGTGGAACTCCCTTCCCGTGGGCGTCGAGGATGAGCCGTGCCCTGGCTCGCCAGGGGGAGGCGGTGTAGCACAACTTGTGTACTCCGAGTCCCGTCTGAATGGGATGGAGTGTTTCGCTCTCGCGAGCGTGGCGTTTCTCCAATCGCAGCGGTTTCCTCGCACGCGTGAACACTACCTTAATTGGGCGATAACACCCTAAGAGGCGCAGGATCGCAGAGCTTGGATAATTGTTGGTAGCGCCGGCTGGCCGCGTGGCTGCCGCGGCCTTCCCGCTCGCCCCTGCTTCCTCCTCGCGCCTCTGAGTCGTCCACTCGGTTTTCAGAGCGAGCGAATAGTGCGGTGTGGTGGTAGCGCGTTACACTGTTGCTAATGATAATTATATCTCAGCGGGCTTTACCCGATACACTAAAACAAGTTATTTTTAGTAATTTGCGTCACCTTTTATATACTTTGCAACTCCTGTCGTGTTTTTGTATGGTCTGTTTGTTGTTGTAACGTTCTGACCCGGGACATCTGTGAAAAAGAGCTTTATAGCTCATCGGATTCATCCTGCAGTATAAATACTGATTCGGATATCATCAATACCACCCCCCCCCTTATTTGTTCTACACCCCTCCCCCCAACATCCCCTCCCCCCAACATCCCCTCCCACCCGTGGTCCTTTCACCCGTTCACAGCCCCCGTCCCTCCGTCGACCCGTCGCTGCTGCCGCTGCCTTGTCAGCCGGCGATGGTTTGGCGAGGCCGTTCCGTCGAGCAACCGCCTGGGGCTCTCAGCTGTGCGCGGCCGAGGCCCCCACAGCGCCGGCTGCTGGCGCATAAGGGGAGGGTGGGGAGGGATGGAGGGAGGGAGGGAGGGGGGAGAGAGGGGAACGTTGCGCCGCGTGTCTGGTGAACGATGCCGGGTGAAGGGACCATTCCGCGTTTCAGCTCCTTCTCGTTGCTGCTGCAAATGTGAGATTGTTTGGCGGCCTGCGCGTCTGTTCGCTTTGAGATGCTGCGCGCGATGTGTGGAGGTGAGCGACTGCGTTGGGGACTGGTCGGTCGTGCAGCGGGCAGCGCCGCTGCGTTACGAACCCGGCGACCCGAGTTCGATTCCCGCTCACGGTCAACACCAGTGACGATTGTCTAAACCGGTCCTGGGGCCTCCCCTAGGTCAAGTCAGCCTCCAATGAGTACCTGGTGAGGTGTGTAAAACATCGCCACTAGGAAGACAAAGGCGGCCGGGCGTGGTGCTGGCCACCCACCCACCCCGTGGTGCCGCCCCGGCCTTCACATGTGATCGCTAACAGCACTTGCCCAACAGTCTGTGAAGGCTACACGTGGCGACCTTTGTATTTTGCGCGTCTGTGTGCCAGGATCGTTCCGTGGCAGAGTACGAGTGTCACTTCCGCGGCTCCTGATCTCTGTCGTGTCGCCGCCTCGCGTGACATCTGCCCGTCGAGATCGTCGTGTGATCTGACGAGCCCTCGGAGCGCGGCTATCGCGTCAACGTCGGGTTGTCTTATTGACTCGTTTCCGTGTTTCACGGTTAGATCGGAGTAGCCGTGCCACTCGTAGCCGCACCACTCCTATTATGCATTCTTGATGTGGCGTGCCGGGCGTGGAACATATTGTCCGGGTCGCCGACCCAGACTGGTTCGGTTTAAATCAGCTGCATCCTTTGCTTTCTTATCGGCGCTGCCTCCATTGTGCATGTCAACATGAAGCTGGATCGTTTACTATCACATCATCATCTTCACCTTGACTGCAAAAATGATCCACTGCTGGATGAAGGCTTCCCGACCGCCCCCCCCCCCCCTCGACATCTTTCACGCGTCCGCCATGCCACAATGCGTCCCTCTCGTGCGCCATGGAGCCCTCTCTCCGTGGCCTGCTACAGCGACTCGGCGAGTGGCACAACGTGCGGAGTCGCGGAGAGTCGCGCGCCACCGAGTGATTCTCTCGCGCGGCCGCTCGGGTTCACTGGGGTCACGCGGAACCGATCGCGGTGCAGAGTGAGATCGATGACCCACCGACATGGAGGTTGATTCAAGGGGCGAGTGTCGTGCGAGGGGAGGACGATGGCCCGTGAGGGTGGGGGGGTGACGGAGAGGGGGGGGAGTGACGGAGAGGGGGGTGAGTTGAGAAACGTGCTCCGACAAAGTGTCCGAGCTAATCTCTTGCACTCTCCTCGCCCCCCACCACACAATGGGTACTCCTCCTGCCCCCCCACACCCCTCCATCAGCCATCACGCCCTCCACTCCACCCTGTACTCCACCCTGCACTCCACCCTGTACTCCACCCTGCACTCCACCCTACACTCCACCCTACACTCCACCATGCACTCCACCCTGCACTCCACACTAACACTCCACCCTGCACTCCACCCTGCACTCTACCCTGTACTCCACCCTGCACTCCACCCTACACTCCACCCTACACTCCACCATGCACTCCACCATACACTCCACCCTGCACTCCACCCTGCACTCCACCCTGCACTCCACACTACACTCCACCCTACACTCCACCCTGCACTCCACCCGGCACTCCACACTAACCCTCTACCCTGCACTCCACCCGGCACTCTACCCTGCACTCCACCCTGCACTCCACCCTGCACTCCACACTAACACTCCACCCTGCCCTCCACCCTGCGCACCCTGCACTCCACCCCACTGCCACGCGCGCTGTCATTGCGCCGCGCGTCCACCAGGAGGCACCATCGACCCTTTCTGAAAGCCAGGGACCGCACTGAGCGGAGACCGCGTGGTCGGTAATCCGCGCCCGAAGTGGAGAGAAACGGAGAGGGATGGTGGGGGGTTGAGGAGGGGGGGCTATGTGTGGTGCCTGAGCTGGATTGCAGATTTTCTTGGTCGTGTGCATGCCCAGCCCTCTGTCAATCCACTGCTTGATGAGTGTCCATCTTCTCCCCACCTCGTATCGCTGCAGCCTCTAACGCTGCTATTGCAAGCACGGTGGTCGCCCATCCGAGCACTCCGCAGGCTCAACCACTGCTCAGCGGGCGAGATCTGACGATGTCTTCCGAGTGAATTGGTCCGAAGCGTTAGAATCAAGCGCTCTTTTTATTCGCGTGAATGTACGGTGAAGAAACTCTGTCACACGGCTAACATCAGTAGCGAGTTGATTCTTGATATCCGTTCCTGCACCCCCCCCCCCCCCCCCCACACCTGGCACTCCTCACCAACCCCGCACTCAGCAAGCATGGTGAAATATGGTCAACCTACCCCCCCACCACCATGCTCAATGCGACATGGGGTAGATATCCATCCAGCAGTGGATTGACACAGGGGCCGAACGTGACTATAATTGTTGCAGTCATCGTAGTTTGACTCACGCTACTCCCTGTGGTTCTTAGCGGAGAGCTGCATTGAAGCGACGCTTAAAGAGTATGGATCCCTGCAGTCACGAAAACTTCAAATCGACGCTGACTCCTCTGATCCCGGGTCCCAAGTGAGTGGGAAGCGACTGAACAAGGCCGACCTCATTCATAACTCAATTTACATCTCTCCCTTGACTGGCCTCTCTGTTCGTGCTCTGTGAAACTAAACTATTAAAGCAAACAATTGTTTTTTTTCATCAGGCAAGGCCCACTGAGCCGTATAGTTATTTTTCAGAAGCTGTCACAAATGATCGCTCAATGAAGTGGCTCATCGTGTGGAGATTTATTGAAGCCAAATTACTCTTATCGCACGCTTCTAAACGTGGAGGGGAAAACCGGAGGACCCGGAGATAGATCCACACGACCACGGGGAGAGAGACACGCAAACTACAAATATACAGCAGCAGGCGTCGTCAGGGTCGGGATCGAGCCCACGACCTCCTGTATACCAGGCGAGGTAGTTAACATCTCCAAGCCACCGCGTCGCCGATGGTGTGTGGTGTTGTATTTTGAGACCAACGTTGTTGTTGACGAGTGGGTCTTGTTGTTGCTGCTGTTGCTGCCAATACAGCAGCAGCAGCAGCGCCACCAACTAACTTGTTTGAACCAGGCCGGGGGGCTCCTGTTCCGTGGCTCTCATTATTCCAGGGACCGAAGGGACCCCTTGAGGATGGTGCCGAATCCCCCCCCCCCCCCCCGCTAATGAGCCGCACCATGGCGCCTGAGCGAGACGGGCGCGCTTCACGATCCAAAGTTCCACCGCCTCGCGGCGCCAACATCGCTCCAGATGACGGCGACATCGGAGACGCTCCACCCTGAACCACGACGGGAGGGATGACATTGGGCGGTTTTGTGGCGCAGCGGTGACGCGTTCGCCCTTCGTGTTCAGAGCTTCGCGGTTCGACTTCGAGCTGCCGTCCTGGTTATCACTGCGGGTCTCTTCACAGTAACAACAACAACATTACTATGCGTCATCTGCTTCACAGTAACAACAACAACAACATTACTACGCGTCAGCTGCTTCACAGTAACAACAACAACAACATTACTACGCGTCATCTGCTTCACGTTGGACGTCAGAGATCCCTGGCGTCATTCGTAAGAGTTGGCCATTATGTGCCGGCGTCAAGGCCCAATTTCGCCAAATTCGAAAATGACTGATTATAATTGGCATTACACACCGCAGCAATCACTGCCCGTTTCGCAGGCCTGGCGCCGAGTCACCTTGTGGTCACAAGGTCAGCTGCCACTTGGGGTTCCCTTTTACCGCGTTGAGATGAGATTTAAAGCGCTCTGAAACGCCCCCGGTAGACAGGACGCGTTATCCCAAAAACAAATCGTCACTCTTGTTATTATTTGCGTGGCCAGCGATGTGTCTCAGTGGTAGCCCGTGAATATTTGCACGAGATATGCCGTGGTGTGCCCCATGGGTGACTTGTTCCTTGAGACTGATCGTGAGATGACCAGTCGTGTGGGCAGGTAGGTGACCAGTGAGATAGCATGGGAAGTAGCACAGAGGTCTGCTCGTGCTGCGATGGCCCATTCAGTGGCCCATCGATACGATGGCTTCTAAGATGGTCCGTGAGATGATTTCGTGATATGCTATGGAAGGAGACCCCGTGACACGTGACCCGTGATACGGTATATGGCTGGATGATGTGCGAAAATCTAAACTTGAATATCGATGGCGTGTGAGGTGGCCCATGAGCGGGTCCCGTGTGAGTAATCTTTAAGACGCCCCAGGGAGCGTTCGCGACCACGAGAAGGGGCACTGCGGCCGCGCGTTCTCATTGATCCTCAGAGCTGACGGCCGCGATCGAAATTAATGTTCGCGACTTACCCGAGCCCGCCGCCTTCACTCCTCGTTGCCCGGCTTCTCGCACGGAGGAGCACAGAGGAGTACGGAGGAGCACGGAGGAGCACGGAGGAGCACAGAGGAGCACAGAGGAGTACGGAGGAGCACGGGACCTCACGTCAGATCTCCTCCTCCTGCTGCTCGTCGTCCCGAGAGCGCGATCTCATCGACGGGGTCGCCCACCACCCAGTTCCGCTGCTGGCTGGGGGGGTCACTTATTGGGGGGGGCGGTCGGGAGTCGTGGGGGGGGGAGCCGTGATTCGATAAAATCGCACTCCGCTTAATAACTTCGCGGGGACATCATTATTGCGCCAAAAATTCAATTATTACTGTTAATTGCAAAACATGTGAATAGTGTTTCCATCAGGGCGCACCGCGTGACTTCGTTCGGCTCCAGGCGAGAGCCGTCAAACCCTCTCGCCACCCGCCCCCTGCCCCTCCCGCCCCCCAAGACTTCCCGTCATTCCCGGCACCGCCCCCCTCTGCCCCACTCTTCCCACCGCCTGCCCCCCCTCTCCCCCCGCCGCCCCTGCTTCCTTCGGCACCCTCAATCCTCCCTGCGCTCCCCTCCCTCGTGGCAGAGGCAGCTCGCACGCAGCCGCAGCAGCCGCAGCAGCAGCGAGCGCCCGACGCGGAACTCGGAGGCGCCGATCGGGGCACAGCGACCGGGCGGGGATTGTTCGTCGCTTCGCTCGTGGCGCGCGTCATTCCTCTCGTCGGCATCTCAGCGCGATGCGGCGCCTCCCAACCCGCGAGCGGCGCGGTACCGTGCGACCGCATTCAGCAGCATAAGTTTCCCCGGGGGGCCCCGTGCTGCCGAGAGGAGACGGGGTGCGGGCGGGCGGGCGCCCCGAGCGGCGTCAGGGAGCGCTGGGCTCGCGCGTCGCGGCTCTCGTCGGCGAGGCGATGTCCGCGTTCCGTAGGAAGCCGCAGGGGGACGAGTACTGCGTGGTGGCCAGCGTGGTGGGCGGCACGGCGGCCGCGTCGGGGCACGGCTTTCGCCTGGGCACCAACAAGAAGCGGCAGCGCTTCGTGCAGAAGAACGGCCGCTGCAACGTGCAGCACGGGAACGTGAACCGCGAGGCGTTCCGCTACCTGTCCGACATCTTCACCACGCTGGTGGACCTCAAGTGGCGCTGGAACCTGTTCATCTTCATCCTCACCTACACCGTGGCGTGGCTGGTCATGGCAGCGTTGTGGTGGGGCATCGCGTACGTGCGCGGCGACCTGGAGCTGGGCCACGAGCAGGGCTACGTGCCGTGCGTGGCCAACGTGCACAGCTTCCCTTCCGCCTTCCTCTTCTTCATCGAGACGGAGGCGACCATCGGCTACGGCTTCCGCTACATCACGGAGAAGTGCCCCGAGGGCATCGTCCTCTTCCTCTTCCAGTCGCTGCTCGGCTCCATCGTGGACGCCTTCCTCGTGGGCTGCATGTTCATGAAGATGTCGCAGCCCAAGAAGCGCGCCGAGACGCTCATGTTCAGCGAGACGGCGGTCGTGTCGATGCGAGACGGGCAGCTGTGCCTCATGTTCCGCGTGGGCAACCTGCGCACAAGTCACATGGTGTCGGCGCAGATCCGCTGCAAACTCCTCAAGGTGAGAGGGACGCGAGCGAGGTGTGTGGGGGTGGGAGGGGTGCTCGGGAGACCGGATCAGGGTGTGGGGGGGAACGAGCCAATCTGTGTTAGAACGGAGAGACAAACGCTTGCGCTTTCACGCGGTGTGGGTAATTGGGTCATCATGCTAATCGCTTAGTGCAGCTTCGCGTGGCGTGGCTACCCACCTGCTCACCAGCCCAACGCCTCCTGTAGTCTGCGTCCACAGAGCGAGCGAAGGTCAAGAGGTCACCGACGCAACGCCGATGTTGATGCTATCACGCGCGCTTCGTTAAAGTTGACACCGACCACCAAGGGCTGCTCGAATGTAACGGCCTCCTCAATCGCCATCGAGCCTTACCTCTGCATATTGCCACACAGTCCACGCGTCCTTCGATGACCACTCCCAATGTCGCGATCGCCATCTGGCTCGAGCGCTTCCCCTCGGATGCCGACCTTTGGGTGCCAACCCAATGACTGTCGCGGCCACCTGCCCTCCTCCACCCTGCACCCCGCGTCTCTCACTCCACGCGTCTCACCCCGCGCCTCTCCTCGCCCACCGCAAGTTCCTCTCCCTGATTAACCACCACAGCAGCTACAGTCGCGTTGCATTGCGAGCTTCTCAGTTGCCTACGTAGCATTTAGGCAAACGAACTGGCTGCGAACTAAACTCGCTCAACTCGGACCTGGCTTAGTGACGGAGGCGACGTAGCGAGACGGCGCGGTGAGCGAGTCGGGTCGCGAGAAGGGGTCACCGACGTCGCTGCTCTTCTTACAAGTTAGCACAGAGCCAGGCTCGTTACATTGTTACCCGTCGCATTCCCTCCACCCCCTCCGTCACGTACTGCCGTGTACTGTCAATGCACTCTCGTGTACTGTTGTTACATTTGATTGCAGAGTCGCATTCGGCTATGAAATGAGCGCGGTCGCGTTGCTCCACAGTGGCTCGTGCCTCTCCCATTCATTCTCTAGCGGTAAAAGAGAATCAAGAATTGTGCTTATAATCACGGTGATGATGATGATGATAGTCATCATCATGACACGGTGTCACGCTGCCTACTCTTCACGAGGAATAGTACTGGGTATTCTGAGCGTGCCGGGAAGAATTCGGCCCGTGAATATCTCTCATCGCCGCGTACCGATCTCACAGATCAAGCCACGCGAATCCGGCGAGGGCATTACGAGAGCAGCTGGTAGACAATGCCGCTCGGCGTCCGAGGCGTTTAATGCGGCGATGAATGGGCCCAGTTCATCGCCGTAAAGAGGCCAATTTCGATTCAATTTTGAGACGACTCGCTCGGGACAGCGACCCGCGTCACGTGCGGCGGAGCGCGCATTCACTCAGCGCGGCGCGTCCCCGGATCCCCAAATCAATCACGGGGAGGAGGAGGAGGATAAAGAGGAGGGGAGAAGGAGGAGGGGAGACGATGGAGAGCGGCCGGAGGAGAAGGCGTCTCATGTCCGACGCCGCACTTGGGTGCGAAACACGGAATCGCTGCGCTTGAGGTCTGAGTACGTTCTTGCGTGTCCGCGTGTGCACGCGCCTCCACGCGGTGTCCCACGTGTCTCCCACGTGTGCACGCGCCTCCACGCGGTGTCCACGCGGTGTCCCACGTGTCTCCCACGTGGGCACGCGCCTCCACGCGGTGTCCCACGTGTCTCCCACGTGTGCCCGCGCCTCCACGCGGTGTCCCACGTGTCTCCCACGTGTGCACGCGCGGTCTCGTACGCGCAAGCGTGCGATGCGCCATGTGTACGTGAGTTGCTCCTCATGTGCACCCGTGCATGCTTGCGAGTATTTGCCAACTTTAATAGGTGCTCGCTAACAGCGCTGGACCCAACAAGTTTATTTGTGAATTTCATTATTCGTAGACGTGTACTTTTTTCATTCATTCGACTGCCACCCCTAACCCCGCTGGCAAAAGAAAAGATATTAAAGGGTTCATCATCAATGCTTAAAACTTTCGTGACTGCAGGAATTCATATTCTTGGTTCTTTCGGTAAAGTCACGTAGATAGAAAAATAAAAATAAAAGAAATAATAAATTACAATAAAAAAATTTAGCAAAAAATACACGTCTTTTTTTTCTCTCCGCTTGATGAAGACCGCTTGTGTTGCGATCGAAACGTCGTGGGTTTTGGCTTTTATTTTTTATTTTAAAAAATATTTTATATTTAATTTTTTATCTACGTGACTTTACCGAAAGAACCAATAATATCATCAACGCTGTTGATATGACTCGTCGACTCCCCGCATCACCGCAAGTCGCGTGGCACCCTTCACATGTCGCAACTTAAGTCTCCAGTCTCTATATAATTGCCGAATAATCACTGCGTGGTGAGACCTCGTACCTCGCTTGAAGGCGGTGCGCGTGGGTGCACCCCTCGCCCGTGGCGCCCCCCTCCCCCTCTCTCCCCGATAATCCTCGGCGCCCTAAAGGCCGGCGCCGAAAGGCGAAATGATTCCAAAATCACAATCAGCCGAAGCGAGCGAGGCTCTGTCGTCCGTACAGACCCACGGAGTCGCCCTGAGTCCACTGATTTCCCCCGAGGGCAGCCGCGGGCTGGTGGCGCATGCCGAGAGCCCTCGGTAATCACAGCAGCACGGCTCGGCCCGTGCCTCCCTCCGTCCGCTTTCCCGCACACCGGCAGACATCGCAATCAGCCTCCCTCCACAAGCGGCCCGCCCTCCCCATTGCCGCAGCGACAACGCCTGCCCGGCCGTATCCGCGTCCCCGTCATAAGCGCGTGGCAGAATGGAGGCGATAATTGAGCGGAATGGGAGGATCGCACGCGTGGCAGTGATGGATGAGCCTCGTTAGCCACTTTGATAGCCCGAAACCCCCGGGGGGAGGGGTGGGGGGGGCGGGGGTGGGGGGGGAGACCCCGCACGCGACCACGTCCCGCGCGCAGCGGTTAATAGACTTGCGACTTGAGTACACGCGCGGTCACAGAGACAGAGCGCGCACACGCACGCGCGCACACACGCACGCACACACACGCACACATTCACGCGCGCGCACACACACACACACGCGCACACACGCACACACGCACGCGTGCACACACACGCGCACACGCGCACGCGCGCACACACACACGCACGCGCGCACACACGCGCGCACACACACACGCACGCGCGCACACACGCACGCGCGCACACACGCACGCGCGCACACACACACGCGCACACACGCACACACGCACGCGTGCACACACACGCGCACACACGCGCGCGCGCACACACACACGCACGCGCGCGCAGCAGACGACGGGGTGGACTGCTGGCGCGGTGGAGAGAACACGGCTATGGACCCGGCGACTTGAGTTCGATTCCCAGGCACGGCTAACATCAGTGGCGAGTGGCGTGGGAGACTCCCTGAATACGACGGCCCTGTCCCCTCGGCCTCTCTCAGCGTCTCCGTTTCTGTCCCTGGCGACCCCCCTCGCTCCCGCTGTCCCCCTTAGACCCGCCCCCCCTCCCATCATCGCTTCGTCCTCTCTAATCCCCTTCCCCCCCCCACCCACCCCGCAGTCCCGCCAGACGGCTGAGGGAGAGTTCCTGCCGCTCGATCAGCTGGACCTGGACGTGGGCTTCGGCACGGGCGCCGATCAGCTGTTCCTCGTGTCGCCGCTCACCATCTGCCACGTGGTCAACAGCAAGAGCCCCTTCTTCGAGCTGTCGAAGCGCGCCCTGCAGCAGACCGAGCAGTTCGAGATCGTGGTCATCCTGGAGGGCATCGTGGAGACCACGGGTGCGGTGGGGAGCCCCGAGGCAAAGCAGAGCGCGAGTGCATTCTTGTGCTCGCGCCGTTCCTGTTAGCGCGATGGTGGTCGCGAAGCCAGGCGCTGCTGTGCGTGTCGCAGAAGGGGGTTCACGGCAGCCGCTACCGCTGCTGTGCGTGTCGCAGAAGGGGGTTCACGGCAGCCGCTACCGCTGCTGCTGTTGTTATTGTTGTTGTTGCGAATATGGCTCGAACCGACGAGCTCCACTACAACAATGTGTGGCCTTCAAGGGAAGCAAACAATAGGCGACGTTTCGAGCCATGGGCCTTCTTCGTAGCACAGCAGTATCGCCAAATAACGTGATTGTCCAATTAGGTAACCTTTCAAGCAACTTTCAACGGTTTGCATATTTGGGAGCGAGACGTGCCCTCGTCCTTAACTTTTTTAAATTAAAAAACTCTCACGAGATTTTTAACGTCCACTGTGAAGCCGACGGTGTATGCGTGTGGGCAATAATAATAGTAATAATACCCCCCGTGTTGCCCAGGGTGACCGCTGGGCTCGTACCGCAGTCACGCGGCCCGCGGCCCACACGAGGTCTCCGGCTTCGACACGCGACGATCTGTCCGTCGTCGAAAGCATCTTGGGCCGCACTAATCGGGCGCCAAAGAGGCGCGTTTTATAGACCCGACAATGAACGCTTCGTTCTGATATCGGCGCCCTGGTCGGCGTCGAGATCAGCTTTGCCGAGGCGATCTCGAGTCGTCAGCCCCGCGGCCGCTCGTCGCTGAGTCGTTTGGCGTTGCCGCGCCGAGCGATCGGCAGCTGCCCGCGCAGACCGACTCGCACGGCGTGCGTCGGGCAGGAAGGCGGGGGGAGGGGGCCGGGGGATGAGACCGCCGCGGGTTCCAGGTCGATGTTGTGTAACGAGGCGACGAGGACTCAGAGAGACCCGGGTGAGTCTCGTTTGCAAGAGCGACCAGCCCGGGACATGCGTCCGAGGTGGGGAGATGTTAACTACCTCGCCTGGTGTGCAGGAGGTCGTCGGTTCGATCCCGACCCTGACGACGCCTGTTGTATATGTGCCATCATCAGTGGTCACGCAGCAGCGTCATCATCAGTGGTCACGCAGCAGCGATTGCTTCATCACAGCGTCCCGCTCGTAACGGCAGCAGCGCCGATCTGCGCATTTTAATGAAGTGGAATGGCAGCAGCCGAGAGGCGGGGTGCAACACGTCACTCACACACAGAGAGAGATAATCAACAAAGATCCCCCACCAACCTCTTATAGCCTGAGCAGACTGTTGGGAGAGCCGTTGCTGTTGGCTGGCACGGCCTTCGCAGCTGATGGCGTCCACGTGGGTGGGGAGACATAGACGTTGCAGTACAATCAATGAAACGTTGTTGATTCACGGCCCTCCGCTGCCCGCCACGCAGCCCCGGGAGTTATAACAGCACGAGGAGAGACGTTTGCGGGAGCGGTGGAACACGCGCATTGTTCGTCATCGGTAACCACCGCATTGATCCGTGACACTAAGATCGTGTAGGACGCGGCGGCAGGCGCCTCTCATCCAAGATGGTGGAAACGGGGGAAGCTGCGGCTCCAGGAAGTCCTAGAAACAGCGCGGGTGTGGCGGGAGTTGGAGGGTTATGGGATCGCTTGGCATAGAGGGAGGGATGTGACCTTGGGTAGAGAACACGAGAGAGAGACTGAGTGGGGGTTAGAAACAAACTATTGAATTCGTCATGCGTAGGAGGCTCACCGTGACCCCCCGACCTCCCGCGTGCGCAGGGATGACGTGCCAGGCGCGCACCTCGTACACGGAGGACGAGGTGCTCTGGGGACACCGCTTCCTGCCCGTGATGTCACTCGAGGACGGCTTCTTCCGAGTCGACTACTCGCAGTTCCACGCCACCTTCGAGGTCCCCACGCCCGCCTCCAGCGTTCGCGAGCAGGAGGAACGCTTCGCCTCGTCCCTCGAGTCGGCGTTCGCCGCGTCCCGCGACCTATGCTCCCCGCTCTCCCCGCGCTCCCTCCCGGCCCTCTCCCCCGGCCGGAGGAATGAGTGCGCGGTCGACGCCGTCTCGGGGAGATCGTGGGGGGGCCCGCACACTGCGGCCGCACACTCCGGGCCCGAGGATCAACTGCCGGCCAAGCTGCGTAAAATCGGCGGTGGCCCGGGCTCTCGGCCGCCCTCGTGCGCGGCGCGCAGCCGGGTTAACGGGGTCATGGGCAGCATGAGCGCGGGGGACCTGGCGCAGGCGAGGTCGCCCGTGGCCGCCGCGGGGCCCGCCGCGTGCTGGGGCGCCGGGTCGCTACCCGAGGACGTGTTCCCCCTGTCCCCGTGCAAGTCGCAATACGAGTCCCGTGGGCAGCAGCAGCAGCAGCCGCAGCAGCAGCAGAGGTCGCAGCTGCTGCCCTCGGCAGCGGACACCCTGCCGGCCAAGCTGCGCAAGATGAACGGCTGCTGAGACGGCGCCCGCCGGCCCCGCGCGGGAGACTCGAGGTGCGGGGCGATCGCAGGGCACGCACCGCCGACCGCGAGATTGCCCGAGGGACCGGCGCGAGATCCGTCCACGTGAATAGATCCGCGACGATTCGTGAACGGCCGGACTGACTCTGCGTGTTCCGAGGAAACGATGGGAGGTTGAGCGGCCATAACGATTTTTGAAATCGTGAGATTGTTGACGCGGGTGGCCATGGCGGGGATGGCTGTGGGAGGACATTACGTGATTGAGAGGAGGGGGGAGCGATCAGCAAATGGCTCCCGCAATAAAAAATAAGGATGGCGCTCCCCCCCCCCCCCGTCCATCCTGTGTCGCCGGGAGGGAGAGCGTGAAGCAGCAGAGCCGAGAGCGCCGTGCAGGGTCTGCATGCGGCCTCGATCATCATCGCCAGTGGGGAACAGAGGGAGCCCTCCACCCACCCCGCCGCCCATGTGCTCAGGCCTCTTGCGGTGAGGACGGCTGCCCGCTGTGGCCAATGCCGTTGTATTCGCTACCATGCAGCGATCGATCCCCCGTCACCACTGGCGCCCGCAAATCAGTTCCGCTTCCTTTGTTGCGCGCGGTGCGATCCGAGTCGAGTGTCGTTCTCCATTGAAACCCCCGCCTCCCAAAAAAACACGCAAGTTTTGTCTTTCGTATTTATTTTCTTTCATTTTATTCCGATCGTTCCGTCAGCGCCCTGACACCACGCGGAGTGTCTCCGTCTCATCTCCCGCGGAGCGGTGTGCGTCATTCGTAGACCGACGTCTCCGGATCCTTCCTGGCGACCTCTCTTATCCCACCACGCATTGCGCTGCTCGGCACTGTCCTCCCGTGTCCCGTGCACGAGAGAGACCGCGGCGCCACCAGGCAGGGCTACGGGTCCGATCACGAGCCACTCTCGCGCGTCGCGGTCTTCTCTGTGCCACGTGGAGAGCGTTTCTCGCCGAGCACCTGGATCTAGAAGGAGGAGGGAGGAGCAGGCGGAGGAGGAGGGGGAGGGATGAGAGCGGCAACAGCCATGATTTAATTTCGGCCCGGTCTGGGAGGATCCGCGATTCTTTACCTGTATCCGCTCCCGGCACACCACGTCCGCTGTACCTCCCGCTACTAGTCCCGCTACTAGTCCCGTGCCCTATTCAAGTCTTAACAGCGACCCGCAAAACCAACTGAACGAGAAACGAATCCCCGTGGCAGCCACGCACCTTGCCGCGGCCAGTTCGAGCCGCACCTCGTCCGCTCGCATCCAGCTCCGAGCGGCCACAGCTTCTACCCCCCCTCCTCCTCTCGCTCCAGCGCCTCTCCGTCTCTCTCTCTCTGTCTCTCTCTCTCTCTCTGTCGCGTCGCGTCAACCCCAAGCTGTCGCCTCGCGTCGCGTCGCGTTTACCCCCCCCCCCCCCTGTACCCATCTTCGCCCGTCAATTCGTCGAGGCTGCCGCGAACCCGCGCCACCGTTGCACAGAGGACGACGCCGTGGCCGCGACCGGCAGCTGGCTCCGCGGGTGCTGCGAGTGTTTGCGAAGCGCGGCTCTTTGTCGACCCGATGCGACATGTCGACATCGCGGGGCTTGTGGCGGCGTCTCGCGTTGGTCTTTGGGGGAGCGGGCGGGCGGGGGGTGTTGGACTTTGTGTTTTTAAATTGGTCACGAGTCCAAGTTTCGCCTGTGGCTTGCCATCATCACCCGGGGGGAAGGGCAGTTGTTGCGCACATTCTTGTTTATAAATACGAATAAAATCAAATGAATAGTTTCGCTAAGGGGGCGTCTGGCTGTTGTTGATGTCTGAGCGGCGGGGCCGCGTCTGGGCAGGTCACAAATCGATCGCTGCGCTCGAGACGATCAAACGAGACGGACGACACTCAAACTGGGGAGACGACACGGACGAGACACTGAAGATAAAAAAAACCGCGACCCCCAAATTGATGACAGCTGAATAGCCGAGAGGCTGAATCGTCCGTGGCCACCGGGAAATCCCCCGCACCCCCACCCCCCTGTGCGTATCCTCCCCCCGCCCCTCCGCTCCCGTCCTTCACCCCAGAACACAACGCCTGCACGCGTCTGTCATCTGTATTCTCCCTGCCACGAGCTTGCGCCGAGACGTGGAGCTCCGCGCGGCACGCGTGACCCGTCGCCTACGCCGCCTTCGCGGTCGGCATCCCCGGGGTTGTCATCCCGGGCACGCGTGGGGAGGTCGCCATGGAGCTTCTCTCCGCGTCGTCTGCTGGCCCACGGTCATCTGGCGCAGAGCGGGACACTGGCGGGGAGCTGGTGGCCTTCACTGCGGCCCCTGGTGGCGCGCGAGCCTCGACGGGACACAGATGGTGACAGCGGCCCCTTGCAGGCGGGGTGGAGGCCCTCACGCTGCTGACGTCTTATCGACGACAGTGCCCCCCCCCCTACCACCTCTGGAAATTGTGAAGAACACTGATCTGGAATATCGCCTCGTGCTGTCGCCTTGGAGTGTAGGAGTGATGACTACACCGGTACCCTATTGTAAAGCCACTGTCCCATGAATGTGTCCCCGAGCCGTGTCAATCGTGGAGGTCGTTTGACCCATACAGGGTGCTTCAATGAAATGTTGACACGTATATGGGACTATCGTTTTCAATTAAAAAAAATTCGGATACGACTACACTGTAACATGATAACAAGTGTAATGTTAATAGCTTCAAAAAGTTAAAGAGTTTCCCGTTCCTTCGCCATCATTGTCAACAACATTCATGGAATCCTCTCCAGGAGGTGGTAGGTCACGTGTGCTGTGGGGTAATGCATCTGGTGAGCGTGGAGCAGTTGGCCAATATACCATCCAGAGGGTTCTCCCCAGACCTCCCCCGATAGCAGAGGTCCTTCCGCCAGCAGTGTCTTGAGCAAGCTAATTGCAGGACTACGCCTTTACCTGTTGCAAGGCAGAGCCAATGACGAACGCGGTGAGAGCGAGAGAGAGAGAGCGAGCGAGGTTGCTAGTTCGCGTGATCTATCTGGCCGTGACTCTCCGTGCATGCGTGGCGAGTGGATGTTAGGCGTCATCACAGTTGGCTTCACACCCCCCCCCCCCATCCCCGGAGTCGTTAATTTTTCAACAGAGAGGGGGGGAAGGGGCGGGGGGGGCTGGGCGCGAGGGGTTCGTGCGCGCGGAGCGGCGCGCGTGAGACCCCCAGACGGATTAGAGATTGAGATTGAAGTCAAAAGGGCCTTTTATGAGGTCGCGCCGTGCCTTGAAAAATAACGACGAGCGGAGTGAGGGAGTGAGGGAGTAGAGGAGGCTGGTCGTGCGTGCGGGCGGGCGGGGCGGGCGACACGCGGGTCGAAGGAACAAGCGAGGGCTGCGTTCGTGCCTCCGTTGAGGATAGCGGCTGTCGCGGTGGCACCGTGCGCGTGGTGGCTGCGGCTGTGCGTCCACGAGCCGAACGCCAATGTCGAGGTCTGCCGCCGGTGTCGGCAAGAGGGCTTCAGGAGTTGTCGAGGTCGCGGGGTTTTTGCTGTTTTCAGGGTCGCATGGGAGCACAATTGGTAGAGCTCAATGCGGCTGGCATCGACCGCCGGACAAAAGTTCGGGATGCGCTGTTGCCAGCATGGGGGGATCGGCTAAATCTCTCCTCGTATAGTGGAGCCACGAGCTAGTCAAACAAAAGCGCTCTTATCTCTCAGCTGCACGCGACTCTGAACAACCCACAGCTGCCGAGCTCCAATTCGCAGCGTCGTTGATGAGACAGAATGACGTCTAAGTGACTTCCAACGAGGCCTCTCGTGTCGCAGCCCTAAGTGGCGTGTTCGGGAACACAGGAAGGAGCGACTTCACTCAATGATGTTGACGTTTGTATTCTCCAGCGAGCGAATGTTAAAGCTCGTGTTGGACAGGGCCCCTATTTGTCTCGTTGCCGCGTGATTGATGCCCGTTTTAATGTGCCACTTCCATGGCCGTGTCGACTGCGCTGTCTCAAATGTTGGGACTGGGCAAGATCGAGCACACAGAGAGGCACGCGCGCAACCTGGCGCCTCCTCCTCCTCCCATCTACGATCTGTGATGGACCCATTTATATACAGCAGGAAGGACAGAGTCACTCACACGCCGGACAGTCACACAGCCGGACAGAGTCAGTCACACAGCCAAACGGTCTTGGCAGCTGCCCCTTCATAGCGACCGTGTGGCTGAGGTCAACGATGTCAGAGCGACACGGGATTAGAATCTCTCCACATTCCTGGCTGTCGCCTGACGAAGCTGGTTGTTGTTGTTGAATTACCTGCGAAACGCCACGGTACTTGACTTGTAAATGTTGTCGCGGGTTTACTCTCCAAACACACAACCGGTGTGCTGAACTCGTGATTCATTGGCAGTTTTTGTTCAATTGACAACCCTAATTGGTTTGTGCTCAGACGGTGGCGCGGTTTAATGACGCATTTATATTTTACGCGATCTAACCCGAGGACCTCTATTACGGTCACTGATTCGTTCGCCACCTCTGAGCAAACTCGCGGCGAGGTTTTAATTCTCCCCCTCGATTATTTGTTTTTCCTCCCGCAAAATATTCCCACGGAACATCGATTGCCTCTGTGGGAGCTGTCACCCGAAGCGGCTCTCGGCGGCTGTGAGCGTCCCCCGCTCGTGTCGGTCCCCGCTCGGCCGCCGTGGCTGTAAACGCGCAACAGCGGGGAGACATTTCGCCTCGAGCAGCAGCCGCAGCCTGACGTTCTCTCGCCGTCCATCGGGTGAGAACCGCGCGTCATCGCTCCCTCGATGTCCGCGGGGGCTCTGCTGCTGCTGGGCATTGGCTTTGGAGTGAGGGGGTCGCCTGCGTCGGGCGCTACCACTCGAGCGTACGGTGCGCGCCAATCCGTCCGTGATATTATCGTGCCCGACATTCCTATGAATCCCATGAGTTCAGAATGCGCGTCGCGAGTTCAGAGCGAGTCGAGATGGACGTCGCGTGCCACAATTCCCGGAAAAGCGTTCCGGACCATCCCGGATGAGATGCCTGGCGCGGGTGCCCTCCCCCCCGTCCCGTCCCGCAGAGCTGCTCGGGCTCGCGAGGCCTGTGAGTGTCTTTGTGCCGAGGGCGCGATGGATTCCCGTGGGCAGGGCGCGACCCCGGCTGTTGAGGCGCGGAGTAATTGTGTGCGGGACGCGGCAACGGCGGCGGTACGTAATCACCTGGGTCACGCGGCCCACGGCACCTGCGGACGTCTGTGATTGAGTGATGAGGTTGGAATGCGGGTGGAAACGGGGTGATTGTGGGGGTGATTGTGGGGGTGGGAGTGGGGGAGGGGGGAGGTGGGTTGGATGTGTGTGAGGGGCGGGAGGGGAGTCTGGGGTTTATTTTGATTCATTTTTAAATTCACTTCAGCCCCAAAAATGCGCAAACCTCACTTGACGTGAAGGGAAGCCTAACTGCGCGTGGCTGATGATGGATTTTTTTTGCGGAATATGGAAATACGGTTAAATATTTAACCGGACTTCTACATTCTGTCTGTGCATTGCGTTTACACAGTGCTGAACAACATGCTTCCTTTAATAAGTAAAGACGTGTGGTATATATTATGCGCTGCAAACACGTGATTACTGGTTCTGTTAGTTTGACTTCCATTGTTTCTATTCGTGGCTGATTTGCAGAATTTCCCCTCCTCCCATACTGCCCCCTCTACTCCTCCCATACTCCCCCCCCCCCTTTGATCAATGCGAAAGGAAACTTCAAAGGCTTGCGTCTCGGTGGTACGGGGGGGAGCTCCACGTTCGTCTGGCGCGAGGAATCGGAGGTCCCCCGCTCCACGCACCTCACGGATTTCCCGGCATCGTCCTCAGAGTGCAGTGCGCTGCCCACTGCGTCACCACTCCAACCCGGCACAGAGCAAAACGATTTCCTTCTCAAATGACCTCCGAGGCAATGCTCATCTCCTGTTTGCGACCCTGAGCGAGTGGCGGAAATTCCACGTTCATCTGACGGGGACAATTTTTTGTTTGTCATTAGGACAACCACTGATGACCTCCCCACATCGCATCATCCCCGATCCCGGTGAGGTGCTGGGCTGAGTCAAACTGCCAACCAGGGTCTGAACTCAGGACATTCCGAACGTGAGCCGTTCGCTTTGCCGCTAAGCCACCTAAAATATATTTTAAAAAATTATTTTACCAGGAAAGGCCCGCTGAGCTATATAGCTATTTTTCAGAAGCGACCTGGTCACAAATGATAGCTCAACGAAGTGGCTTATCACCTTGTGGAAATGTACAGAAGCCATAGAGTCTATATGCATGATTCTAAATGTAAATGTGGAGGGGCAAACCGGAGGACCCACGCGACCATGGGCAGAGAGATATCGCAAACTCCACATATACAGCAGGCGTCAGGGTCGGGGTCGAACCGACGACCTCCTGTATATCAGGCGAGGCAGTTAACATCTCGCCACTGGCCCCGCCCCGTGCTGCCCCACAACCCCCGCTCTCCACTCACCACTCCACCCCTCATCGCGAGAGGAGCCGTTTGAGCCTCATCATTACAGAAAGGAAAACAAGATTCGTGTTGGGGTCAAACACATTCGCGGTCAGAAAGTGAACGACACAAGACGAGTGTTCGTTTCGTTGTTGAATGTGAACGCGCCCTCGCTGCCTCGCGTCCTGCAGTGAGTGAGTTGCTTCGTGCGGACATGCCAGGGGGTGGCTGCACGTGGACGTGTGTGCGTCGTGCGCGGCGCAGCGTGGTCCACGTGCGGGACGCGTGCGCTCCGTGAAACTCGGTGGGTAGCGCCCGGCGCCTGGCCGGGGATTGATTCGGGAAGCGTCGCCGCTGGGAGCCCTGCTGCTTTGCTGAGCGAGAGTGCGCTCAAGAGCGTCACGGCTCCGTGATGGTGATGATAGTGGTGGTGGTAATGGTGATGAT